ACAAAGTTTTTTTTTTCCTTCAAATGATCTGTAGTTATTTAAATATGTATACCGTTAGATTAAAATTAGTAAGTTTATTATTCTGCAACAATTTCTTTTGGCATTTCTGGCAACGGCTGTAGAGCAGAATCCTCTTTCAATCTTTTTAGTATATCTTCAGCTCTAATTGCGATACTCATGCTCCTAGAAACTCTTAGATCTCCCCCTTCTTTGCCACCTCTTCCTCTCCTTTTTGATCGAGTTTCTAAATCTCTGCCATCACGTAATGTTTCCAGTAAGTTGTCCATTAAATGCTTATCGTCTGTTGGACTTGATTGAACTATCATTTGCACTCCTTGCACCCCTGAACTATGCTTATTATTAGCCAATTTCTTTCGCTGCTCCATTTCCTTTGTGTATAAAAACAAATATTAAATAAATTAAATGTTTGCATAATAAACTGTTCGAGAATATAAAATTACCTCTTTTCGTTTTTTAGCAGCTAATTCGCGTTCTTTTATTGCTTTATTATCGGCCCTTGCCCGCTGAAATGAATAAAACAAAATACAAAATAAATATTGAAACTTTCTATATATGACCAACAATAAAAAAAATGGGCTTGTAAACGTCCAAGCATTGGATTATTATTGATAAATTCGATAACATTTTCTGGCCTTTATCTTTCCATTAAATCATTAGCCACATTGCTCTGGACAATAATAATACAAACATACCTCAAAGCTAGTGATAAAAGTCTTAAATATTCCGAAAAATTCATCAGGTTTAGTGTTTTTAGGATCTTCTCCGAAGTATGCTACAACATCCTTATATGCAACTTCCATCTCAGTATATTCCATCTGTAAATTTTCAAACTTTTTTTTTGATTTTACAACAAACTCTTTCATTATTCCAGGGAATTTGTCATATTCTTCTAATTCAATATCATCTCCAAAGTTCTTTTGTAATTCAATTGCTAAATCATTTAACGTCGTTCCCATTTGTCGATACTCGTTTGTCATTTCTTGTTGTGATACTAAAAAACGATTAAATAAAGTAATATAAAAATTATAGTAAATAAACCTATCAATGTATATTTTTGTATTTATATTACAAGGTCAAAATAGAATTTATCGTACCTCTACAAGCAGACCCACATTCCATTAGATCATCAATAAAACCCACCGTATCAGGTACTTTCGTTTCAATTGTATCGGCCAAAAAGTGTAATAAAGTAATTGATGAACTTTTCGCAGTCTTGGTATCCACAAGCTTTATTACCGTAACATTTTAAAATTTGAAAAGGAAAAATCAGTACTATAGCTTAAACTATTAATCAATATAAATAGTTATAAATAATTAGACAACCTTATTGATACTTTGAATCTTAAATCCATAAGCACCTCCTTTGTTACCAGATCCATTCATATAATTTCCGATTAACAAAATAAACTAAACAGCAAATTATAGAAATTTTAGCAAAAGAGGATTAAAAGGTTCAAATAGTTTTTTTTAGATATGTATATAATCCTTACACTTAATAATTCTTTAAAATTCTTTGATTCTTTAAGCGCTATGGACGCTTTCGATATTGATACGATACTCTACAAAAATAAACATTTATATAAACTTATTGAAAAATCAAATAATCCCCTGCTAATAATAAGAATTTATTAATTACATACATGTTCCAAATCATTGAATTTTTCATCAAAAGTAACGTAGAAATACATAAACTTAAGGCGTTGTTCATATCGATGAATCTTCATCACCTATTAATTTAAAAGTATAATATTATGATCCTGATATTGGTAAATGCCAGAAATTCTTATTAATATCCAACCTCGACAAAGAATCGATCAGCACGAGCCAAATTTTCGAGCATATCTTCAGGGCCATCTTTATACACTGACAATTTACCACGCTAAAAAATAACGAACAATTATTAAGAACATTCCTAAACATGTGTATATTATGTTGGATAGCATACCTCCTCAGGTGTTGGAATATATAACCTTAATTGGGCAAGCAAATTCTCATTACAGAAGTACTCATCAAACTCGACTATCTTCCGATGTATTTCTTCAAATGTTAGATGTTTATGACGTCCGAGAGCCAAGTCTTTAAAAGACAACAATTAGTAATGGATTAAAATATACCAATCCAACATAACAGTATTCTTACTAATATTATAAGCTCTCTTTGGATCAAGAACACTAATTTCTTCTTTCTTTTCAGCCTTTTTCCCTGAAGAATAAATATAATATTAGAAAATATGAGAAATCAAGTATAAAAAATATGGGTATTAAAATGACAAAAACAACATACTCTCTTTAGCTTCATAAGCAGCAAATAATTCTTCAATGTTATTAAAAACGTCAGACTCTCCTCCAAGTAAATTAATTAGCTCTTCATCATCCAAGTTTCCTTGTCCCCAAAACGTTTTATTAATAGACAAGAAATTAATCTTGTCCCATTGAACTTGCTTAAGTTTCTTCATGGTCATGTATGGGACTTCTTTACGATTATCTACACAAAAATATCCGGTGAACAAAATAGAAATTTTTATTGCAAACCGATCAAATATTGTAGGCAATTTTCTAAAGTTAGAAACTTATGGGGGAACAGCATTATCACATCCTGACATGCATTTTACATCTAACATTACATGTTATTCACCATTTACAAGAGTGTATATAAATGCCAATTCCTTTTATCATACTAACTTGTATTTGCCTGTAATCGAAAACCTCCAGATGGTGGCGCGGGTGGACCTCCAGCCTTTCCTGGAGGTGGTGGAGGACCTCCGGCACCTCTAGCTTTCCCTCCTGGTGGTGGTGGTGGCGGTGGTGGTGGACCTCCAGCTTTTCCTGGTGGCGGAGGTGGTGGTGGTGGCCCCCCAGTTTTTACTGGTGGTGGAGGCGGTGGTGGCGGCGGCACACCTCCAACCTTTCCTGACTGAGAAGTTGGTGGTGGTGGCGGCGGCGGTATGTTCGAAGATTGTGTGACAGGTGGAGGTGGAGGTGGCGGCGGTATGTTCGAAGATTGTGTGGCAGGTGGAGGTGGAGGTGGCGGTGGTATGTTCGAAGACTGCGTAACAGGAGGAGGAGGTGGTGGTGGTATGTTCGAAGAAGTTGGTGGTATATCAGAAGACTGAGCCGATAAATCTTCCACTTTTGTGGTTTTCAAATCAGTTTCTGCCTGCGAAATTGTCAAGTCAGGTTTAGGCAAACTAGGTTGAGATGGTATTTTAGACGTAATTTCAGGAGTAGGTGAAGTTTGTGAAATTGATGTAGGAGGATGTTGAGATTGTTCATTTGAATTTTCGCTAGCTGATATACCATCATAACGTTGTTTAAGTTCGTTTAAAACATCAGCATTCAATTGGGAAGGTTCAGGAATTCTGAATCCACCAACAAAGGATTTATCATCAGGTTGGTGTGGACCCTGCTCATGTCCAGGATAGCCCGAAGACACATCCTGGCTATTAGATTGTGTTGATGCATTCTGACGACTCAGATTGTCAATATACTCATTTGCATCTGGCATCTACATTAAAGAGTCAAATGTTAATAATTATAAAATTGGATTACTCGATATCTTTAATGGTATTACCTAATCAAAATTTGTGATTATAAACGATATCAGAGATGAGACTTAAATCACGCCACCAAATATAGGTTTATAATCACATAATTATAATTACGGAATCTAAATCAGATGATTAACAAACCTTGAAATCTCCAACTGAAGGTGGTGTCCAAACTTTTCGATCCCCTTCCAATATTCTTTCCGTTTCGCGTATTTTCTGCATTCTTTCTAGTTTTTTAATAAGTTCAGATCGATCTACAGCAGCGGAATCAGCTCCAAGGCCTTGTTGTTCCTTTATTATCGCTTCAAGTTCTCGAAGTTGAACATTTAGATCAGCGAGTTTTTCGCGATAATTGGCTTCTAAATCGGAGTTTCGTTGTTGGAGTGTTTTAATGGTGTGTCGAGAGATGCGTAAAAGCTCTTCAAGTGAATCTATTTTATTCTTTAATTCACCGCCTAAAATAAGTGCGTAATTGTTATTATATTAATGTTAAAAAATACTTAGCAAATGTCAAATAAAAAAAATATATTATAAGCTACCTGACTCAGAAGACATTTCCTCTTTTAACATTAACTCTTCTTTCTCACGTAAGGCTTTTGCTAACGCAGCATTAGCTTTCTCTGCTTCTTCAAGGGCATCGTTAAGTTTATCTTGATCAGCCATTTTAGCAAGGACCTGTGAAACGGTGAGACCCACAGACTGACTCCAATCTTGGTCAAGCCCATGACGATCAAGAACAACCTGAGTGACCAAGGAATCAATAAGCTGGAAATATTTCGTTCTACAATATATATATCTTCATTTTAGTATCCTTAACTTTACTGTTCTTACTAACTTTCTTAAAGTAGAGAACCAAACCTAGCTTCACCAACATCACGAATAAGTAACATATGTTGCATAGCCGACAGGAAAAAATCATATGCACGTGTCCCTTGCACTGAAGCAAGTATACACTCAAAAACATCACGTGGATCAGTATTAAAATAAATTAAGGGATAAAATAAAAATTCAATGCAATAAAACCAATAACAAGAATAATAGATAATAAAGGATATGTCATGTCTTGAAAAATTCGATGATTATAATAATCCAAGACTTCTTCATAATCCAATTCACTTTCACGTTCAAACTTGCTTATTTGACGATTAATAAGCTCATGATTAAATGCTTTCATTTTCTGAATATCAAATCATTTTTTAGTCGATTAAGATTCGAAATAAGATAATTTACTACATTTACAGTGAAATTAAAAAGTTATGCTTACCTCAATTATACGCGATAATCCACATGCGTGTAGCTGGTTTCTCAGATGTACTCGAATTTCAACGTCATCACATACACCAATTATTGAATTTACTAGAATCATATTCGCTAACTATTGGAGGCGAAACATAAAATTATACTTCAGAGAAAAAAAGTATATGTAAAGGATGCGCGAAAAATATAACTTACAACATATTCCATCAACGAACTATCCATTCCCACACCCCCTTTTTTAAATTCATCGCTTGCATCTACTAAACTTCCATATCGTCCACGCCCATCAATTGTATTTTCCAGTACTCTCATCCATGCATCAAATCTTCCATGCTCATTAAGAAATCGCTGATGTTGATCAAATCCTTCTAATACAAGAGTATGACCAGTAGGAATTTCACAATAACAAAAGAAAGAAAGAACTTCGGCCACAAGCTTGCGGGTGCTTAATTGAGGGGAAACAAGTGAAAATGTGATACTATGAATGCATGATGGATGCGTCAGAGCTTCTTGAGCACCCCACTAAAATATAAATAAAATACAAATAAATGAATTAAAACAAGATCCAATTATTCAATTCTAAGATAAAAGCATTTATTTGGACTTACTCTGTTGTTTAACAGTGATTTTAAACATTTAATAATTTCGTGTTCCATTTGTAAATCATTTTCCAGCCTAAATTAAAATAAATATTTAAAACAAATATTTACGAAGAATAAGCATTATTAAAATGACGTTACTAAGATAAATGCACAAAAAAAAAACAAATAATTATAAGGATAAAAATACTGCACGTACTTTGCATGTTTTTTTGTAATACTGCTAAGGTAATTGGCAAGAACCTCCAGGCCTTTGGCGTCAATGAAAGACCGAACCCACCTTTGTTCATAAAAAAAGTTCATATAAATTTAAATGCATAAATGCATTAATCAAAAAAAATAATACAATATTGATTTCTCACGTTATGGGCGATGTCCTTAAAGAAACACTGAGTGAGTTCATGAGTTTAATAGTTATAGTACCGTCCATTATTTTTTTAAGATAATATTCTGGAGTAGTTGGATTAACAGAGTTTATAACAGGATTGAAATTCGGATTAGCAGAACTTGATTTCTATAATATAAAATAAAAATAAAAATCGCTTGATTATCACAAATATGAGACAATTTTATAAAAGAAAAGAAATTTCAACCTCTGTTATCATATTATTTTTTATCAACGTCCATTTATTTTCGATTGGCATGGCCAGCATTGCCTCAGAGAGATTTCCTAAATCTAATTTTCTCTAACATATAAAAATTGGATGTTAACAACACATCATTGATCAATTTACTGCCAAACGATAGTGACATATGAGAAAATACTAGCTATACCATCATTTGCAAGAACAAACGTTCAACCTCTTCATCAGGAGGCCTAGGAGGTTCGCTTTTATCATTTCTGTGATATCCGCTTATAAACGGTATATCAGCTGGCAGAAAAGCAGCAGATGTTCTAGCAGAATCAATACTCCGTGCTGACCCCGAAGTTTCACTAAAAATGGAATGACTAAGTGAAGGAGTATAATCTACTGAGGAATTTCTCGAATGAGGATTACTGTAATTCTCATGAGTCGTTATTGAAGACGGTTGAGTATGTGGTTGCGAAGAATAATGATCAGGATAAAATGGGTGTTGATAATTTTGTTGAGCTGGATTACTAAAGGAATTACCAGGGGACGGTAAGGGGGGTCTTATATTTTCATAGCGAGGAGTGCCTCTTAATTCGGGAGGTTGTTTTTTTTTTGATTTCTCTTTAAATAATATGTTTTTCATGGTTGAATAAATGTCAAGCAGAAATGGTATTAATAACACAAAATACAGATCTTATGGACTAAAACATACTACTGAACATGGATCTTGCCCTTTCAAATAGATCGCTAAAACAAAATTAAGATCTATATTAAATAAACAATATTAATAACAAGTGTAAAATAATTTAATAAATGAAAGCGAATACGATAAATAACAAGGTAAGTGTGGCTGAACTTAATCAATAATTAAATTGCGCAAACTAGGATAAGTCAGCCACACTTCTTGCACGAACAAACAAACATTGTATAACGTTTGTCATTGTCGTTAAATTACACACACGATGCTCATTAAAATTGTCCGGAAAGTTCTAAACCCATGTCGTACGTACTGTACAGTACGTAATTAGGTTCGATCGACAAGATAACTTGGATTCATTATTTACCGTTACTGATGCATCTTTACTTGTTTTAGATAAAAACTACAAGGTTCTTTATTGTTAATGACTAAAAATAGGGATATCAATGAAGTAAGGATGGTCCCATGCAGGCGTAACATCACTTTGGATAATTTAACGTTCGCTTTTTTGAATTAGATCTGTTTCCAAATTCAATATAAAAAGAATAAAAGGTTTCGCAAAATTGAGACGGTCTTTTCTTGCTATCGCTATTGCCCGTGCCGTGCTTGTGCTGTTGCTTGCCCTGTGCAGTGCGTGCTTTGATCATGTTGTTGAGGTCAACAGAGATTATACTAATATCCTACGTGATTGGCCTTGACAATTTAAGTCAATACAGCATAACTGTTTCGGGATTTTAACATATTCGTAATTTTTACCGGGCTGATGAATTGATAAAAGACCAAAATCAAAGATCGTAACGTAAGTATTTGACAATCAATCCTAAACTCTATTTTATATTTTAACATGTTAACATTAGTCTATTCACTTGTGTGCAAACTTATTAACTTGTATTGACTGTTAGTTTTAAGTTCGAAACAAAGATTTATTACAGTATAATAAAATATAAAGTTAAATTACCAGTATGAATAATTTATTTGTTAATTCTAAAACTATCGCTGTTTTGTAAACTATTTTAACATTTAACTCAATTAAGTTTACATCGCTAGTCGAAAAAAAGAAATGGTCGAGACTACGGATGGGCGGCGAATTTACTAAATACTCCAAAATCAGAAAAAATTTGACAATTACAGCTATTATCATAATTCCTGGGACACCTGTAAAAATTTGCCGAATGATTTTTCAGCCGATCCGGTTAAGTTAT